TTGAAGGCCAGGTTGGATGGGGCTCTGAGCAACCTGATCTAGTTAGCGGTGTCCCTGCTCCTGCGGGGGGGTTGGACTAGGTGGCCTCTAGGGGTCCCTTCCAACCCAAAACATTCTATGATTCTATTCTATGATTCTATGATATCTTGACCACAGTGAAAGCCAAACTTTCACTAACACCTCCAGGAAGGATGTCACTCAGATCCTCTGCCTTCAGCATCAAATAATTCAGAGATAAGACAGGCAAAGCAGGTACAGATGTAGGAGACAAGCAGAAAGAATATGGGTCTGCTTACACATTAGAATATCACTGTGAAGTTATTATTTGTGAATAATGGAGCAAAAAATAGTCTTCTAATGTGGTTCCACTCCACATAGATGCTAGTTTGAGACAAATTAAAGCCTGATGACAAGGCCTTTTCTTCAGACTAATACTCCTGGCTTTAAAAAAAGTGCAGGATGGGGCCCAATCAGCAAAACCAGCTTCTCTGAAGAGTCTGGGTGCATGAACTCATTGAATGATTGATTATATAAATACAGTTATGAAGGAAGACTATATACGGAAGAGAAGCAATACCTAAGCAGGCTCCTCTATGAGCTGTGCATTATTCCTTAACAGTCTTTTGGTTTTCTTTATGCTACCCTGACTCCAGAAATGTCTTCTAGAAACAAACTAGCCATAAGGAGATGCAGGTGCTCTAAGTAGGCATCTTAGACTACACTGGTCACTGAAAACTCCCTCTGTAATTCTTGAAGAAAAATATGTACCTCCAGGTGACATTCCTCTTATTCTCAGATATGTTTTTTTGACCTTCCAGTTGCAGCCTAAATGTACCTTTCCCTTGCTAGTCAATATAAGGGGGGGGCTCACAGAGATTAGTTTAGACTTGGAGTCGAATACATCTTACCTATTTCATATTTTATCAAAGCTCTCAGGTTCAATTTTACCTGCCAAATATAACTCAGCACTTCATGGGATGCAAACCTCCTGTTGATGGAGAGTTTTAAGCCTTAAGGGTGATTTCTGAATCCTAGATGAGTCAAGCTGCCCTCTTGATGCGTCTCTGAACCCTCTCTCCTTCTCCCAGCATTAGAGAACGCAGTGTGACCGGACTCCTAACCTAGCGCTTATACTAGAAACCTAAAGTTTGAGGAGTAGAGCCCTGAGCGTTT